ATGTTGAATTGGAGGCAAAATTGAGAGTAGAAAAGCGGTCGAGTTCTAACACGAAAACCACATGACTGAGGAAAACAATGTGCAGTGTAAACCACTTGAGCACAAAACGTTTCAGTCTGTATGTGTGTACGTCCCATGACTTGCGTTATATTCTCGAAATTGCGGTGTAGTGTGGGCGATTGTCTATTCGAATATAAAGGTTCATGTAACCATAAGAGTACTTTTATAACCAAGAAAATGTATACATTTCAACTAAAAGAAAAAGTAACTTTAAATAACCACCATATATACCGTCATCGTCATAAAAAAAGAGAGAGAAAAATGTAAAATGTGCCTATAAAATTATATTTTACTTCACATTGTCTTCTCTCTATATATAAAATTTAATACAACTTAAAAGGTTAGAATTTAATTTTTAATATATATATATATATATATATATATATATATATATATATAATGGATATTAGTAACTTTTAAAAGCTTTTTTAACTTTGATAATTATATTAATATTATACCTTTCAAAATTTTCAACATGTTTAATTGTATTATTTCTTTTTTAATAATTATTATTTTACGCGGAAAATAATTAATCTCTAAATTAGACATTTGTGAGATTTAAACTTAAACTATTTCTGAAATTGAAAGTCAGATGTAAGCAGATCTATAAAAATAAGATTTGGGGTTAAATTATGTATCCAAAAAATTCCGGAATGCATGATTATGTTCTATTTTCAATTTATGAAATTTCATTTGTCATAATTACTTTTGAGTCGAATTTTTATTTGTTTGAATTAGTATTTTGCAGAATTTTCATCAAAATGATTTTCTATAGGGTCAGCCGGGGTAAATCCGAACGCTAATTATTTTAGCTTAATTAAAATTTTAAAAAATAAGTTAGACATGAGAATTTTTACCTCAGATCCTCTTCAAGAGATTCTAAGTATTATCCCATTTTTTGTTTGTTAATTAGCAACAGCATAAACAAAGATAACGAGTATTGCAAAAAAGATTGAAAATCAAAGATGACACTCTTTCAGTATTTTGTCTCGTATTTGAAGAAAAAGAAGCTAAAAATTCATTTTATTATTTGTAATTGTTTGTTATGAATACTAGAACAGAAACTATTTTTCATTTTTGCCTTCTGTAAAATTTTATTAATAATATCAGACCGTTCGTATTTACCCCGGAAAATTGGAAAACCGGGGTAAATCCGAACGGTATTTTCAATCATTTTTTCTTATATCAAAAATTTGTTTTTATTTGATTACACTATTATTTTAACATTATAAAAGTATGTATATAGAAAAAAGTTTTTCTTTCTATATGTATCCTCGTTAGTAATTAATAAGCAGAAACTTAATCTCTGTTCTCTCGAAGGAGTGTTCCACTTTTTATGCCAAATGGTTTGTTGAAAAAAGTTTTTCAGGATCTTAATATAAAATTTGGTATTCTAGGGTTTTTGGGGTCACTGATTACCAATTTGAAGTCAGTTTTTCAAAATTCAAAATGTCGGATCCAATATGGCGGAGGAGAATTAAAAAATTCATTGGATTCGCTCGAAAATTGTTACTCGGGGGGTTTCAGGGTCGCTGATTACGAATTTGGAGTTAGCAAATTTGATCATTTTTAAAAATAAGTTTTAGGAAAGTCCGCCATTTTGAATTTAAAAAATTTAACTTTTATTTTTGTATTTACATTCAATCACTCCAAAATACTTTCTGTACCAAGTTTTGCAAAAATCCGTTATGATTTGATAAAGTTATTGAAGGTTTTAATTGTGTAATGCATTTTAATTTTTAACCTGTTTGATTTTTGTATTTATTTCGGATTTACCCCGGCTGACCCTATTACAGAATTTTTATATATCCGAAAATTCACTTCACAGAATTTTTATTTGTTCTAATTTTTATTTGTCAGAATTTTTATTTACTGGAATTTTCATTAAACATAATAGGCATTTTAAAGAATTTTTATTGGGTACAATTTCATTGCATAGAATTTTCTTTTAGATGAATTTTCATTTGTTCGAATTATTTTTTGATATAATTTCCATATAACCGATTTTTCATACATACTACAGAATTTTTACATACTTAACCGAAAAATAATTTAACAGAATTTCTAATTGATAGAATTTTCTTTGACCGAAATTGTAAATGTCCGAACAAACAATCGACGGAAAGATTTCGGCGCGATTTTTAAAATCAACCAATCACAATTTTATGGATAATTTTGATTGGTTGATTTTAAAAATCGCGCCGAAATCTTTCCGTCGATTGTTTGTTCGGACATTTACAATTTCGGTCAAAGAAAATTCTATCAATTAGAAATTCTGTTAAATTATTTTTCGGTTAAGTATGTAAAAATTCTGTAGTATGTATGAAAAATCGGTTATATGGAAATTATATCAAAAAATAATTCGAACAAATTCTAATAAATAAGAAATCTATTTTCTTATTTTCCATATAAATTTCGAAAAAAATGTTTCGGGCAAAAAAAATTTGTAATGAAAATTTCCCGTGTAATGCCCCAAATATATATATATATATATATATATATATATATATATAAATAAAACAAAATTTATGTTCAATAATTTTTAAACAAAATATTAACAAAATTCAACAAACAGAATTGTGGAGAATTTTTTAAAGAGCAAAATAAATTATTGTTTATTGTAAAAATGAAATATAAATTATAATATTGTTTAACAATTTTAAACAAAAAACACATAAAGCTAAATAATAATTATTTAACAAAAAATTTAGTTTTTAAATTGAATACCCGGATCAAATAACTCGACCGACGCTCGGACGCACGCTCTAATGGTAGTCGGGTAGCAGTGAGCCGCCCACAGGCTGTCACTGCTACTTGACTGGTAATAAAGCGTTCGTCCGAGCGTCGGTCGAGTTATTTGATCGGGGTATTCAATTAATTTTTTTTAATCATACAATTGAATCTTTCAAAATATTTGACGAAATCAATATTGTAATTATAGATTCATTTGCTGTAACAGACAACTTTTCAAATTAGGGTTATGTCAATGAGTTGAAATGAACTTTCTTAATAAAATAATAATTATATTCTTTTTATTAGGTTTATATACTTTAAAGTTTAATTATATTATCAAATAATTTTTGAAAACAAAATTTACAAAATTTTAGAAATTCAAAATTTTTATAATTTAAATTAATTTTCAAAAACAAATTAGTATATGTCAAACAGTAACTTTCAAGTAATTTCGATATTGAAATTGGGATTGTTCTTTGTAATTGGAATCTCGTATATAAATATCTGTACTAATTAACGAGTATTTGGGTTAAATTAGCAAATAATAAAACTTTTAATTTCTTCAATAACAGTTGCTTCAAAATTGATTATCACCAAGTTAATTAGTAATAATAATAATAAGAATAATAATAATAATAATAGTTTTTTTTTGTGAAAATATTAAGCTCAGAATAATAATAAATTTAATTATTACTATTATTTAGTAATAAGTTAAAAATAATAACGATTAAACATATGGATTTTTATAAATTTTTATTAAAGAAACGTATAAAAAACAATTTTTTTATATGTAGGTATCACATAATTGCAAATTGTAAGGAATTAATAATAAAGAATTAATAAAGAATTAAAATCTCTAAGCGAAAAAAATTTTACTGTTTTGAAATTTCATTTGAAGATTTTAATGAATTTATCAAATATTAAAAGTAAATACATGTATTCTAAATATACGAGTGTTTGAAATCTTTTAAGATATTTAGAAGCGTCTGACTAAAGTCTGGTTATATCACTTAAAACACTCTTTCATGTTAGTGATAGTGGGTTAAAGAAGCAAAATAGTTTTATTTTTAATTATAAATAAATAGTACAAACATAAAAATTCATTAAATTAAAAAAATGTATAGGGTCAGTTGGGGTAAATGGGGACAAGAGGTTTTGGAGCTTAATTTACAGTTTTAAAATTAAGTTCAACGTCAATATTTTAACCTCAGATTAGAGTATTGCCAAGCTTTTATCTTGACAATTGGCAGCAAGATAAAAAAAGTTATCGATCAATGCATAAAAACTTGAAAATCAAAGTCAAACTGTTTCAGTATTTTGTCTACCATTTCAAAGAAAACAGATTTAAAAATCATACCAATTTTTTTTTTATTCCTTATGATTCCCATAACAGAAATTCACTTGAATTTTTGATTTTTGTCAATTTGGTTGATAATGACAAGCTGTCCCCATTTACCCTGAGTTTTCAAATTTTTGTGGTAAATGGGGACAGCTTGTCATTATTAATCAAATTAACAAACATCAAAAATTCAAGTGAATTTCTGTTATAGGAGTCATAAGGAATAAGAAAAAAATTTGGTATGATTTTTAAGTCTGTTTTTTTTCAAATGCGAGACAAATAACTGAAATAAAAAAAAAAAATAAAAAAAATTTAATTGGTTCAACTATTATATATCTACCACAAATTTTTTTCAAGTTTTTTCATCCCTTAGGACAGTAATATACTTTAGGAAACGTTTTTCTTAAAACTTTCTTAGAAACTATGCTGTCCCCATTTACCCCAAATTTTATGAAATTTTCTAAATTTTGGGGTAAATGGGGACAGTCAGTTTCATGCGTTTAAAGCTTATCTAAATTTTTTTTCTGCTGCATAAAATTAATCCTGGGAACGTAAATAACAACTTAAAAAAATATAAACCCGCAAATATTACCTTTTAAAGGAAGAAACTTACGTGATTTATGAAAAATAGCGATTTTGTCATAATTTTTACTAACTGAAGAAATAAAAAATGCTTTTTTTCTTATTTTTCATAAAGATTTTGAAAAAATATCCCAATCAAAAAAAAAAAAAAATTCGATTTACTTTATATAATAAATTATCGATAACTTGGCGTTTTCTGAGGTGAATAATATTTCCTATATACCTATAGAAATTTTCTTCAAGTTTGTATATATATATATATAAACATCTGTTAATATGATATTACCTGTACAATTTTCGTCATTTCCTGAATGTCAATGACGCCATTCCCATCAACATCGTACATGCGAAACGCCCATTTTAATTTTTCTTCTGGCGTTCCACTCGACGTCACATCGATTGCAAGTAAAAATTCCTGAAATAGAAAATATATTTTTAATTTCAAATAATACTTTTCTTATATATATATATATATGTATATAATTAGAAAAAATTTTCAATTTAATTATTTTGTTGCATGTGTACGTAAAAATGAGTTTTTTTTAAAAATATTATCCCAGTGGGAAATTGCCAAGACTGAATATTGGCTAAATATTGGACCAGTTATTTCAGCCAATATTGGACCAAGTCTGGTAGTGAAGAGACCAATGCCAAGGCGCGAATTTCAATATTGGCCCAATATTCAAAAATACAACAAAATCAGACTTCAGCCAAGATTAAAGAAATTAATTATTAAAACTAAAATATAATAAAATTTTTTGTTATATTTATATATTATATTTTATTATATGTAATAACATTATTATTTCCCTTCTGATCAAGGGTTATACATATATAAAATCATCCGCAATAAACGGCCCGTGCAGAAATTTCCCTACTTAGTTCTACTTTAAGTAAGGCTCTCTCATGGCCCTTGCCAGTTTTTCCTTAAGTCCGGCATTTCCCAGATTAAACGACAGTTACTTGGTTATGCCATGTTTGCAATATAATCTAAAAAACTACATATCAAGGCAGTGGAAAGGCCCTTGCCAGTTTGTCCACAAGTATGGCATTCTTTAGAGCAACTCGGTTTTGCCATGGTTTTATGACATAACCTCAAAATAAAAAGTCATTTTTAACACCAAATAAAACTATAATAAAATTAAATTTCCATGCAAAATATTTTATCAAGTAATAATTATTTAACAATAAATTTTAAATTATTTAAATAAAAATTAATTAATTTATTAAAATTATTAATTTTTTAAAAAATTAAATGAAAAATTAATTTTTAAAAAAAATTTAACAATTTTAATCTAAGAATTTTATCAATAATAATAATAATCAATAAACTATAATTTTTATTCAAACAAATAATATTTTATTAAATAAGAGTGATAAATCTTTTTCATTAAAAAAAAAAATTAATTTACGATTAATGAGCTTAAATTTTGTTAAATTTATAATTCACTATGCAAGTAAGAAAAGGTTAATAAATTATATTATACAAAAAAATAAAATTTTTTTTGATCAAAAAATTGTTTCACTTAAAAAAGAATAATTTCAATTTTAGAAAAAAAAATCTTGAATCCAAAAGAAGAATTTCAGTCTCAAAGATGAATGATTAAAAGTTATCTTTAAAACAGAATTTTGAAAATTCAGTTTTTTCGCTTTATAAAACAGAATTATTGAAGAGATTTGAAATAAATAATTTTTTAAAATTAAAGAAAAATAAACTGTGCGACAATAAAAAAAAGGAGAATGCGTTTTGCAAATTTTCCAAATAATATATTCGTGAGAGCCTTAAATAGACTCGTATATAGTATATATATATATATACATATAAGTTGGAAGGAACGTAAGATTGGTAAAAGTGGGTCATCTGCTGCCCGAGGTAGGCTTGCGAAGTGAGTTTTATGAAGCAGAGGGTTGTGAAAATAAAAAAAAAAAAAGCAAAAGAGGGGATATGCGACGAAGAAAACGACGTCGACATCTCTCTCTCACTATCTCTCTCTTTTTTTTCGAGTAGCTGACCTCTCCTACAAGATGTGCGCTCTCTCCCTGTCGGGAGGTCTCATATACAGTATTGACCTCTGCGTGTACAGCCCAAACACCCTAAAATTTCAGAGCTCTGCGCTTGATCTACCGTTCATTTCTCTCAGCTATTGCTTTACATCATGAAATCTGAATTGAGACTTCACGCTGAATATGTTATTTCCTCTCCTCCTGTCTTACTCTCAGAATCATGGGCAATACCCGAGCCATATCTATAATGAAAATCCCTTTCAGTATATAACCTTCGGCAAATATTAGGTTGGACCAATTCGAATATATAATATGTACTATATATATATCTATCTACAGGGTTAGATTTACTTCGGCAATTTTACTCTCGTATTTATATTGTTCTTTTTTTTTTTTACAAATTTCATTATTTTTTCTCGAATTTATTTTTTTGCACTTAATAAATTTTTGGGTGTATGATAGTATTACTTAAAATCAAAAAAGGTTGAATCTGTGTTATCATTTCAGGAGGGTCAACATAACCTTAAAAAGAACCTTAATATAATCTAAAAATAAAAAAAAATTACAAACAAAAATATAAGAGTATATGAAAAAGAATATAGAAATGATATTTGTAAAATCTTTTTGAAATTTAATAATTTTTTTTTAAATTTTCAATATAAAAACCAATATATATATGAAATTATGAGATAATAATATATCTGAGTCAACTAAATTTGTAATAAAGGAAATTTTGAATTCAGCTCTAAAACTTAAAAAATTTTGTGTTTTTTATTATTTCACCTGATGGTTTTCCTGTATTAGTCGATAGGTTAAAGGTGAACACAAACCTAAAGTTCAACATAACCTCAAAAATCAAAGTTCATAAGTAAAAAACGGGAAAAAATAAACATAACCTTAAAAATCAACGTAATATGTTAAAAACATAAGTTAAAGACGAACATAAACTCAACTCCCTTAAATTTCGAATTTTTGAGATTATGTTCGTATTTTAACTAACATAACCTTGCAGCTATATTCACGTCATTAAACAATGACTAATATAAACTTGCGACTATATTCACAATATTAGTCACTGATTGTCATATAAGGCTAACGGCTATATTCACGTCATTAATCAGTGACAGTCACATGGACTTACGGCTATATTCACGACCTTCATTTTTTTTTAGTTTATGTTCGTTTAAACTCATGTTTTTGACATCTAACCTTGAACTTTAAGATTATATTCGTCTTTAACTTATCTTTTTGACCTATGACGTAGATTTTTGAGGTTATGTTCGTTTTTACCTATGTTTTTGACTTATGACCTCTGATTTTTGAGGTTATGTTGAACTTTAGGTTTATTTTCGTTTTTAACCTATGTTTTTGACATAGTTAGTACAATCCTGGAGGCAGTGGCAAAATTTCTTTTATAATATATATTATATATAATATTTAATATATATATATATATTTATTTAAATATTAATATCCGTTCTTCCAGTAGATATTATTAATATTTTTTTTTTTTTTAGTGAGTGATCTCGGGTCGAGACATATATATTTCTATGTATTTTGATGCGCTATATCCGAATCCGCCTTCAGAATTTGGCCAATGGGTCCTGGTTTTGTCCTAACCTTAAAAAATACCTTAAAATACATCTAAGCTTCGAAATGAACAAATTATACCATACATAGCGCAAAAAAATTATGTAAGCTCATAAAAGTTACTACCCAGGTCTTTTTGTGGTTGCTGATTACGGACTCGATGTCAAGTTTCAAAAATTCAAAATGTCGGATCCAATATGGCGGCCAAAATTCTAAAATTGGACCAAAGTTGGTAAAATTTGTTACTCGGGGTTTTTTTGGGGTCGCTGATTACGAATCCGATGTTCGTTTCTAAAAATTCAAAATGTCGGATCCAATATGGCGGACAATTTTTTTTTAAATTTGTTCAGATTCGCTTGAAAATCGTTACTGGGGGGTTTTCAAGGTCGCTGATTACGAATATGACATTAAATTTTTAATTGCTGACCCCTAAAAATTTCTAGTAATTAATTTCAAGCTGATTGTATTTATTGTGGTTCCAGTACTTAACAGCACTCAATCTTTAAATATATGCTATATTGCTACATCGTGATTCAGAATAAAAAATTTAAAAAAAAACCCGTTAAAATAATAAAGTCCGCCATATTAAATCTACCATTTTTAGAAACGGACATTGGATTCGTAATCAGAGACTATACAAAAAGACCTAAGTAGTAACTTTCATAAGCTTACCTATTTTTAATAGCGCTATGAATGGTATAATTTGTTTGTTTGATCAGATGTATTTTTGAGGTTAGAATCGATAGAATCGATAGATTTGATGTTTTATATAAATTTTCACTTTGGAAAGCTTGTAGAATAGTATATTTAAATTTAAAGACCTTAGAAACTTATCAATATGTAGTTGGGTTCAATTTTGATCAATCAAAAGAGACTATTCTAGCGATTTTAAGGTATATTTTTGAGGTTAGGGCGAAACCAGGACCCTCTCTAAATCTGAATTAGTAATAAATTAACTAATTCATTTAGTAAATTAAATTTCAACTAATGAATTAGTTATTTTTGGAAGTTTTACTAATAACATAGTAAAAAATTAGTATTTGAACATTACTAATTTAAAATAGTAATCAAATTAACTAATTCTATTAGTTATTACACCCGAGTTACTAAATGAATTAGTCAGTTGAACGTAACCTCTATTATTTTCATGACGTATGTCATCTTCCATGGGTTTTTTTTAAAAATATGTTTTGTTTTTTTTAGTATTATGTGATACTATAGCTTGTACTCTATTCAAAATACTTTGATTGATGCTTAAAATACTACTTTTGAAAGCATTTATTATTTTTAAATTATTGTTCTGTTTTTTTGAAGTATTATGTAATACTATAGCTTGTACTATGTTCAAAATATTTTGTTTGGTGCTTTAAATATTACTTTTGAAATTATTTATTTTTCAAAAAATTTTTTGATATAAACTAACCGTTAAAATTTTTTTATTAATTTTATTTCACCAAAAGTAACTATGTATGTGTATCTAAACTGTCTTTAAGTAAATTAATAAATTACTATAAAGTGAAAATTTTAATAAAATCTTTACTCAAAAAAATCGGAAATAATATATCAAATGAACCACCAGAACGTAAAAAATTTTATATGAATTTTGCCAATATTATGCAATTTAACCCATGAAAACTGACTTTTAAAAATAAAATATTTTTTATACAATCATGAAGAAACTACATGCGAAAAATTTTATCTTTGAAACTCGACTTTTAAAATTTTAAATTTTAGTATGAATAAGTTGATAAATTTTTATTGATTATTTACGATTTGGCGTTAAAATTGTATAATGACTAATGAATTAGTAAACAATTAGTA